AAAAAGATCATTAGACGCTTAAACTTAATTCACATTAAAATCAGTCCAAGTTATTGGAACACTTTTATATATTTATATGTATGAGTGTGTGTGTGTGTTTCTGTATATCTAAAATCAACACATATTTATAAATACTTAAATACATAACTTCATGAAGAATACTATTTCATAAACTTGACAAAACATTGCTATTTAAGTAAGCTCATTTTTACACAGATAAAGTGTGATATATATATAGTGTTTCGGCAGAAATAACTCACAGATTTACCCAGAAATGGCTCTTACTGCCTTAACCTTATGTGGGAGGCATATGTTGAGTTATTTCTGCCGAAATTCTCTCTCTCTCTCTCTCTCTCTATATATATATATATATATATATATATATATATAAGTAAATCATCGAGTCTGAAACCTCAACAGAATGCACTGGACAGCCGTTTCGTCCTATATTTGGGACTCAGCAGCAGTGCGTATCCACTACCGAGAATTGAAACCCTGACAAGCAAACATCATATCAACTGTTCCAATGGGCCTCGGCGACGAAGCGATTGCAAATCAGACTCAATATAGCGTCGCTCGCTCACATATTCCGTGGTGGAACTCTGCTGAGTTTCTCCCTAACCATAGGACTGTGACCCCTGGAGCCACGACTACTATCACCAAGCCGCTCACTCTAGAGCATTAGAAGCCGGTTCACGCAATGATATATACATGATAGAAATTATTAGGATCATATATATATATATATATATATATATATATATATATATATATATATATATATATATATATATATATATGTGTATGTGTGTGTGTGTGTGTGTGTGTGTATGAGTTTGTGTGTGTGTGTGTGTGTGTGGGTGTTAGTTTGGTGTGTGTGTGTGTGTGTGTGTGAGTGAGTTTGTGTGTGTGTGTGCGTGTGTGTGTGTGTGTGTGTGTATGTGTGTGTGTGTGCTGTGTATGAGTTTGGTGTGTGTGTGTGTGTGTGTGTGTGTGTGTGTGTGTGTGTGTGTGTGTGTCTTAACCGATTGGGCCACAGAAGATCTTTCGGTTAGCAAGGTCGATTTTTACTGTTTTGTTTGGTGTGTGTGTGTGTGTGTGTGTTTGTGCTGTGTGTGAGTTTGGTGTGTGTGTGTGTTGTGTGTGAGTTTGGAGTGTGTGTGTGTGTGTGTTGTGTGTGAGTTTGGTGTGTGTGTGTGTGTGTGTGTGTGCCTCTCTGTGTGTGTGTAAATAAATAAACAGGGAGAGACAAATTGATTGTGGTTATATGCATGTGTGTGTGTCAGAGAGAGAGAGAGAGAGAGAGAGAGAGAGAGAGAGAACAGTCGTGTGATGCTATAAGCTCATGTTTCAGTATATACATCCGTGTGTGTGTGTGTGTGTGTGTGTTGTGTGCCTGAGTGCGCTCAGGTACATCATGTGAAGTTGTCAGTTCCTAATCTGAAAACAAGAGAAGCTGTCTTAGTCGTGCGTTTATCTTTTACCAAATCAGACGCGCCCTCTTGTGTCGTTTCGTGTAGAAGCCAAAACATCATGTCAACTTACTTTTCTCACTTGATTCCCTTGTCTTTCTCTTCGCTAACATAGACTAATATACATCCATATCTGTACCTACAATTTATGAAGCTATACAGACATGCAGTCAAATTCACGCACTAACAGACACGATGCTATCTTACAGATGATGATCATATAAATCTTCTGTAACCCCTTGCGTCCTAGTGGCTTCCCGCCTTGCTTGGGGTGAAAAGCTAAAAAAACCATATATATATATATATATATATATATATATATATATATATATATATATATATATATATAATTCTGAAATGGGACATTAGCAGTATTTAGTGATTTTTTACTGCATATCATGAAATTAGAACGCTGACAAGGATTTATTATCACTGTGCACAATATAATATATAGAGATAACACCATGTTGATGGCAGACACAAAAAAGTAAATTGCGCGAAGTTCAAAATAATGTAGTAAAGAAAAGCGGGATGAAAGGACTAACTATCAACTGTAAAAAGACAGAAGATATTGCTGTGTTCAATGGAAATGGCCCAAGATGTATGTAACGAATGGAAGATGTCAAAATCAAACTAGTCCAGAAGCGAAATGGAAGTGTTTTAACTGAAGACACAAAAATGTGACACCGAAAGCCAAACACATATTGCATTAGCATTATAACTATTAAGAAACGGGAAAGTGCTTTTAGTAAACAAACTGTTGAATAAGCAATCCTCTTATATAACAAAGACACTTTCCTTCGGGCAGTTGCCTCTCACTGTCTATTCGCTATTTCCATGGAAAGTGCTCGAACGAAACCCATTCCTTGGTCCCGCAATGTCACTTTCATGGTAGCAAACTCCCCACATTCCATCCGTATTGCATTGGTGAGAAGTTCCGCTTGGACAGAACCCTCACGCGAACCCTTGCCCTTTAGAACCGAATCCAACAGAATATTTTCCCGATCACTACAATTTAAACCTGTTCAAGGCTAGGGTTAACCGTTACATTTCACACCTATCCGCACAAATAGCCTCCTAACGTAACCCTCTACCTCGAATGGCTCCCGGGCATTGTAAAAGGTGAGCCATGTTGTAATATATATAATAGATGAACAAATATTATACTTTCTTAGAAGTCTCAATACTAAGCAAATATAACATAATACTGCTTCAACTAATCCCAAACATATTAATCTCTTATATCATAATCAAATGCATACTAATTATAAACAAGATAAAAATATACTAAAAAAAAAAGTAAATACTAATATATCTACAGATATATTAACAAAATACTAACAAAAAAATTAAGCTAATCATATACTACACTAAATCTAGTATATCCAACTCAATTATCCACAATGATTCTTCTCCACCGGTTAGCGATTTGCAAAAAAAAACAAAAAACAAAAAATCAACATAGTTTACAAATTCAAGTGCCCTTTGAGAGATTGTGTCTCGAACGAATTAAATAATATTTATGTTGGTCACACTACAAACTCGCTTTCACGACGCTTGACACGACATTTAAATGATAACTAATATTTTTATGCATTTCAAACAACATACCTGGCCGCATACACAATTCCGGAAAATCCACGTTGAAAACACAACTATAATTAAACATGAAAACAATAAGCAAAAACTAAAAATTCTTGAAGCTATATACATAAAAGTGTTGAAGCCTAAACTGAACAAAATAAACTATAAAATCTCCACAAATATTCTTAAATGCCTATAATTTATAACAAAAGCCATTAGTTTATACCAACGGCTTTACATACTTAATACTCCTCGTTTTCCCTTTCGCGTGGTTATGTGTGACGTCATGAGCTGCGGTGCGATTTTCGCTTCCAGCGTCTTGTATGCACGAGTTTGTCGTTGCTTGGAAATCTTCCATGTAAACATAAACAGACTATCATTATTGTTTTGTCCGTGTATTGGTTAATATATTGCAATGTAATTATGATCTTTGATAATAGCTTATGTAAGCCAAAAGCTTATATAGGATTAAAAATATGTATCAATATTGTGATTTTCTTCCTTCTTTTAATGGTAATGTTATTAAGCTTATCAGACGATATGAAAAGAATTACCTAAAATAAATAGACAAAACTTGTCTATATGATTTAATGAAACATGAATCAATATATATATATATATATATATATATATATATATATATATATATATATATATATATATATATATATTCAAATGAATACAAAAGTGTCATATTCGTAGCTGACTACTGAGCCAAACAGAATATATTTTCGATTGAAAATCGCCAATTTTCGAACCGTTCATTGAGTGCCCTTTCTTTTCTTTTATTTTCTTTTATTTTATTTTCTTTTTCTAAATTCTTTCCTTCTTTCTTCTTCTCTGGGAAAATCTTTTCCTCTTCTCCGTGTGTATCTTAAATTAGGTCAACATGTCTACACCTCAACGAATCTTTTTATAAAACTGAGGCAAATCCCTTTTTCTTTCATTTTCAAGTTTTGAATATTTTCATTTTACTCTCCTCCCTATTTGAATACATACCAATTCTTTCCCTCCCCTTCCCCAATTTTAAATCTGCATATTCGACATAATTTATGTTTTTTAAGCCTGGTTAAATTTTATCCATTTATATTTGTGAGCAAGGATTCGGTCTGATGAGTTGAGATAGACCTATCGATCTTAACGACATAAATATCACCATGGTCTTTTAAGAGTTCGTTTTCTTTATAATAATAAATATTATTGCTCTGTTTTTTTACATTGAGCTCTTCCTGGATTTATATTCTTTTGGAATTTTCGATAGCGAATTCCAAATATTATCATTATATATACATATACATACATATATATATATATATATATATATATATATATATATATATATATATATATATATATATATTAAATTTCTCAGAATAATTCTGAAGTTAAGACAAATTGGATAAAGAATACAAATGGAAAATAGTTCTTAGTCCTTACCGACGCGTTTCCTCATACGACTTTAACAAGGCAGGTGATAAATTGAAGTGAATTACTGTGTATTTCCATCAGATTAAAAAAAAAAAAAAAAATATTGTCGGCATGAAAATCAAAAACAAACACTTAGTAATAAAAAATAAATTACCAGTATCCAGGAAGAGGCTTACACAGGAGCGTCTTTTAAAAAAAATCGAATTTCATGTAACTAGACTTTTCGCTTTTATTTATCATCATTTGTCTTGATAAGAACGAATGACGAAACGCGTCGACAAGGACTAAAAGTATTTTCCAGTTATCTTTTTTATCCATATATATATATATATATATATATATATATATATATATATATATAAGAACAAGAAGATGAAGGAAACGATGACGAAGAAGAAGAAGTAAAAGTGGAAGACGAACAAGAAGAAGATGAAGGAAACGATGAAGAAGAAGTAAAAGTGGAAGACGAACAAGAAGAAGATGAAGGAAACGATGACGACGACGACGACGACGAACAAGAAGAAGAAGAAGAAGAAGAAGAAGAAGAAGAAGAAGATGAAGAAGAAGAAGAAGATAATTTTAAAAAAGAGTTGTTTTTCAGTCTGGATATTGTATGCCCAATCCTCATCATAAGATCACTTCAGCCATGTTGTTTGTAAAATAATATTAATATTAATGAATGAATTTATAGATTTAGCCAATGTTTCTTTTTGGCAGGCACCAATCGATTACCTCATCGTTTTTCCCAAATGAGTAGAAAGAAATGATTAACATCAAACTCTCCAAAATTCTACTTGATGTAAATTACAGACATTTATGAGAATTACAAAGGAGAGTCAGCAATTGACATATGACAAATGATAAAGAGGATTGGGATTTTTTTCAGATGTCAACTGGATTCTTACAAGTGATCGTTTCTGGTCCTCATTGTCCTTGATTACGCAATCCGAATGGAAATAAGAAAAATAGAAGAATCTCGATGTTTTTCAACTTGAGGGAAAGAGAGATTGAAAAATATGTTTGGATAATTCAAAATTCCAGGTAATTGAACATCTACATTATAAAAAAAAATGAATTAAGTAAAATGTCATTAATTGAAAGATATTTAACATCTAAACACTTGCGTTAATTAATTGAAAACAAAACGAATAATTCCGTTATTATTTACTCTTTTTTCCCAATAAAAAATGAGCCAGTGCACATGTTAGTACTTCGTATTTCCATTCCACGATATCTTTCCTTGCAGATTCACCACAGATTCTCGACTGGATTCAAATCAGGAGAGTTTCCGAACCAGTCTATAGTACTTTGATTTACTCACGGGTAAAGGCTTGACAGTGTGTTCCTGCAGCGCTACAGTTTTCGTACGCTTCCTTGGAGCAAAGTCTATCGTAGACAATAGCCGAGACAATATAGTCCGGGCGGGATAAAAATCTGATACAATCACGGATGACGCCAATATTTTTCAAGGTCAAACAAATTTCGCCATACACGCCGAAAATAGATTCATATTACTGCACACCACTGCAAATGACCTAATCTGAGGGAAAATAGAAATCGATTACACCCTGTTGCTACAGTGGGTCTAAAACTGACCGCATGGTGAAAAAAAGGAAACTAGTGTGGTTGTTTCAATTAATTTGCCCAATCGTGTATATCATCAAATAACTTTTTCAAACACTTAGATCGTGTGTTTTGTTATAGTTATTTGGCTACTGAAACCTGAACAAGTGACCTCAAAAATAGTTCCTGTAACCTCCACCTTTTAAAATTGCCCCCATATACAATTTCTTGAATTGTTAAAGAGAAGGCAGGCACTGATAAGTGTCATCATTAATTAGGTTCTTACAGGACGTCTAGCACCGGCTAAGTGGAAACGTTACCATGATTCGACAGTCAGAATCGCAAATATCTTACATGACTTCGCCATATGTAGGACGTTTTGAGATGTATAGCCCATAATTCGCAATTTTAGTTGCATAATCGGAAGTGATATAAAAATATAAATCTTATTACTGGATAATTCTTCTTATTGAATAACATAAAATAAAAGAATTGGTTATTGTAATTATTAATTATTTGTTTATAAACATTAGTTTAACCAGACAGTTACTAATTTATGGGATTACCCTGACCTGCAAATTCATATGATACCAGCTTTAGAATTGATTCCCTAAGATAAAGTGACTGATGCATCTAAGACACTGCAAGAATCTATACCACCTACTTCGAAGATTCACAGATTGGCAAAATATGTCGACATAATAGGTGGACTCTACGTTTCCCTGTTAGTATGTGGAATATTTCTGGTCGTGTAGATGAAGATTTACCTCGCAGCAACAACTCATTGGAACGATGGCATGGCCACATACAAGTTAACATTACTTCCTTCCATCTGAATATATGGAAATTTCTTGAATTGTTGAAGAGGGAGCAGGCATTGATCAGCGTCATTATCAATCAGATTCTTGCAGGACATCTAATAACGGCTAAGCAAAAACGTTATCAAGATTCGACAGTCAGAATAGCAAATATCTTAAAAGACTTCGCCATATGTTGAACGTTTTGAGATATATAGCCCATAATTCGCAATTTTAGTTGTATAATCGGAAGTGATATAAAAATCAAAATCTTATTACTGGATAACATAAAATAAAAGAATTGGTTATTGTAATTATTAATTATTTAGTTATAGACATTAGTTTAACTAGACAGTTATTAATTATGTAATTAGTAATTACTGTATTGTGCATCACCAACAATACGTTGTTTCATTGGAAGTGATATAAAAATTTTACTGAACAATTTTTCTCATGCATTTATTATTGGATAATTTTTTTCAATGGATAAAACAAGAAAATAAAACGCTCATTAATTTTATTATTATTTATTCCTTCCACCCAAGTTATACTTTCTCTTAATTCATTGTATAATTATTGTGATATAAAAATATGAATCTTATTACTGGATAATTCTTCTTATTGAATAAAATAAAATATACGGATTGATTATAGTAATTATTAACTATTTGTTCATAAACATTAATTTAACCAGACAGTTACTAATTTATGGAATTATCCTGACCTACAAATTCGTATGATACCAGCTTTGGTATTCATTCCCTAAGATAAAGTGACTGATGCATCTGAGACACGCCAAGAGACTGTGCCACCTGAAGCAGGTCCTCTCATTGACTGTTTCGAAGATACATATATTGGCAGAAGCCGTCGACATAACAGATGGGCTGTAAGTTTCGCCGTTAGAATGTAGAGTATTTATGATCGTGTAGGTGAAGATATACCTTTACAATTACATAGAAGGACGGCATGACCACATACAAGCTAATATTACTTCCTTCCATCTGAATATATGGATATTTCTTGAAGGGTTGTAGAGGGAGCAGACACGCCCCGGCCTTGGAATATCGAACTGATGTAGACTGTTCTAGTTCCACGTGCCATGTTAATTTCCCTCTGAAAGTTCTCCATTGCCTTAACCGGGTATTGAACTGTCACTGGATCTAACCAAAGCCTTTATCCACTGTACCATGTGTCCTTGAGGAGATCTGTGTATGAATTTCTGGGTATTATAAACCTAATGTCTTCAGAAACCATTTTTACCAGTGCTCATATTGAAATTTTTTGCTGTTATCATTACATGTTTTTTACCAGAGCTCATATTGCAACTTTTTGTTGTTATTATTGCTTTTCTCTGGCACTACTTATTACTGGTTCTCATATTGTATTCATTTCTATGCTTGGTCGGCTCATGTGATTTCTGTGGCTTAGAATATGTGCCGAGTCCTTAAGTTTACGAATTTTTCAATGGTGTTCCTTGTCTATGACCTCAACCTGATCCCACAGAGGGCGGTGATCTCCCTTTTCTCTCCATATGTGGTCAGCCACGCCTGATTTTTCCACTTCCCCTGGTGTTACAGCTTTCTGGTGTTCTTGAAGCCTTAACTTAAGGGGGCGACCTGTCTCCCCTTTATATTTCTTTCCGCAGTTGCACGGGATAGCGTGCACACAGTCTTTAGTCATGTTCTCCTCTACGGGGAGAGATATATACGAAGTGTCGTCAAGCTTTTGAAGGTTGTCCTGATGTTATATGGACCGCAGATCCTTTGTATTTTCTCTGATAACCCCTTCACATAAGGCAGGCAGACTGTTTTCTGAGTGTTGTTGTCATCCTCTCGTACCCACCTATCCCAGTTTTTGGAGCTGCTGCCACGTACCCAGAGTAGTTGTTACGTTGTAGGGTACTACTTATACTGACCAACATAATACCTCATCTCAGAAATATAGACAGATACCAAAATATAAATCTTATTGCTGAAAATTTCGTCTTATTGGATAACATGAAATGTAAGAATTGATTATTGTAATTATTAATTATTTGGTTATAGACATTAGTTTAACCAGACAGTTATTTAGTATGTAATTAGTAATTACTGTATTTGTGTATCTCTCACAATACGTTATATCATTGTAAATGTTATGTGACCTTACCCATAATAACATAATGGACTATTCCAAACGTAATAAATACTGCGCCTCAAGAGAAAACAGAGAGTTCAGTCCGAAGTCGGGCGACCGGCTGATCGGCTGATCGGTTGAACTCTCTGCCTTCGGACGGGGAAGAACCCGAACGAGGCTACGCCGAAGGGCGGAGTCTCTTTCGGGTAGGTAAACCGACCCTGAACCCGTTTATACGGGTTCAAAGGGCATATTTTTGGCTGAGCCCACGGGCTCGGAGATCCCACGTTAAACCGGCCTTGTGCTATATGATGCCCTCGTGGGGGTAGGTGACTAAATACTGTTCAGTCTGAAGTCTGGAGTGAAGTCCGTCCGGAGTCTGTCAGTCAGTCAGAGCGAGCGAGTCAGGCAGTCGAGTCAGAGGCAGCCCGAAACAGAGTCGCGTTCAGACAATTACTACAAGACGTTGGAATAGTGATACTGGTCGAGACTACATTGTTCTCCCTACTAAACCTGATTGTTCGTACTAACACTTTCTACTTCTCTGTATATATTCCTGTTTGTAATATATCTGTGTTATTCCATATCCGTATTCGAGTTCTTCTTTATTGTTTCTACCTTGGACCATCACCGTGGTACAAGGAACCGGACCATAACAATAAATAATTTAAAAATCTTATTGAACAAATTTTCTTTTGCATTTATTATTGGATAATTCTACTCAATGGATAACCGACAAATCATGAAAATAAAACCATAATTAGTTTTATTATTATTTATTCCCTCTATCCAGTTTGAATTTCCTCTTAATTTTCTATTAATAGAGGCATTTGTTCGGGTGGCAGTTGTTCTAAGGGAGTAATAGTTCAGAGGGCAATTGTCCAGCAGATACTTGTCAGGGGCCAGTTGTCCCGGGTGGGTGGAGGCAGTTCTCCTAATACCAAATTCTCAGGTTTGTTTAACAAGAAAAGTATTATACCTCAGAATGACAAGTCTAGAAAAAAAATCGGTATATATATATATATATATATATATATATATATATACCGATTTTTTGTTTGCTCACTGGCAATCTATGTTCAAACTCAAATGTTGGAACCGACACAAAATAATCCCACATGGAAACCAAATAGCTGCTATGTGGATATACAGTACA